GCGTGGGAAATGTGGTAATCTAAGTACAAAGTGAGCTCTTTTGATGGCTGGCAGATCCAAGATCTCCTCTCAATTACAGCCTCGGTTTTGTTTCACAGTCACGCACATATCTAGATCTTTGGCAACCTGTCTAATTAGTAACTGTAACTGCATTCGATATCTGAGTGGCTGTATCTTGGGCTGAAAGGCACTTCCAGGCATTGTTCAATCGCTCGTTTGGCCAGCCATTAGAACACCTTTGGGCAATGGCATGCCTCAATGCCCAGCACTATACTTAAAGCCCCTCTCTAGTGCAATCTTCAATCGGTCGAACATATTTCGCTTGCCCAACACGACATAATTATACCCGTTACTCGTAGAGTAAAAGGGTATACTAGATTCGTCGGAAAGTATGTAACAGGCAGAAGGAAGCGTTTCCGACCCCATAAAGTATATATATTCTTGATCAGGATCACTAGCCGAGTCGATCTAGCCATGTCCGTCTGTCCGTCTGTCCGTCTGTCCGTCTGTCCGTCTGTCCGTCTGTCCGTCTGTCCGTCTGTCCGTCTGTCCGTATGAACGCTGAGATCTCGGAAACTATGAGAGTTACAATACTGGGATTAGGCACGCAGATTCCTGAGATTCCTGCGCAGCGCAAGTTTGTTTCAGTAGAGTGCCACGCCCACTCTAACGCCCACAAACCGCCCAAAACTGTGGCTCCTACAGTTTTGATGCTAGATAGAAAATTTTAACTGAAATGTAATGTTCTCATCAATACCTATCGATTGACCCAAAAAAAAATTTGCCACGCCCACTTTAACGCCCACAAACCGCAAAACCCTGTGACGCCCACAATTTTCATGCTAGATACAAAATTTTAACTGAAATGTATTGGTCTCGTCAATACCTATCGATTGATCCAAAAAAAAATTTGCCACGCCCACTTTAACGCCCACAAACCGCAAAACCCTGTGACGCCCACAATTTTCATGCTAGATAAAAAATTTTAACTGAAATGTATTGGTCTCGTCAATACCTATCGATTGATATAAAAAAAAATTTGCCACGCCCACTCTAACGCCCATAACGCTTAAATCTGTATACCGCCGGTAGGTGGCGCATTTTAATCTCGCTTTGCTGCTTGCATATCTCCATTTAGCTGAGTAACGGGTATCTGATAGTCGAGGTACTCGACTATAGCGTTCTCCCTTGTTTTGTATAGTTTTATTGGCCATTTCACACTTCGAACTAGAACGAAAATAGCTTGGGTTGCACTTGGCGAAATAAATTTCGAGTACTGAAAGAAAATTTGCAGGAAAACAAATAAAACTCTTTTAAAAGAAAAGCCGGTTGAAAAACCATATTCATAAACTAATATTATAAACACTACTTTAAAATGAATTTTTAAAATCTATTTCGAATTTAATTCACAAAATTGAATTATCTTTAATATATTTTCTGATTCAGGAAATTATTTTACTATTATAGTTAAATTGGCAACATTCATTTAGTCAAAATTTTAAAATTTAAAAATATGTTTAAGATATATATTGTTTTCTATGTTTACTAAATTGTCTGTATTCTAAGTGTTATTTAACCAAGAGAAAAAATTAAAAAACAAAATGTTCTATTTTTTGGTTCGAGATATAAACCATAATTTTCATATAACAATTATTGTTGAAAAACAAAAAAATTACTTTTTTGTGTAAATTATTTGTAAAATTAAATGCAATATTATAGGAAGGAAAACCTAACAATTTAAAACAAAGTCCTTAAATTGAAGAAAACATTTCATTTATAATAAACTTGCGATTGGAAATTCTGATTTTTTCAAGTGCATGCCTTGCATTCCTGGTCAGTTCGATTGCATTGAAACATTGCAGCATCCACTGGAAAATGCCAGCTTATAAGTTAAGTCATTTTGTGACTTGGAGCTCTGCAGCAGCGAAACAGCAAATGCAACTGCAACTGCACAGTTCAAAGTTATTTTGTACAAATAAATTGTTTATGCTTTTCGATTTTATTTTGCCTCGGCCGGAGTACGTGCCATGCGATGTTTTTCTGTGCGAGGTGAGCCGGCGACTCTGACCAGTCCAAGTGCGATTGGAAGTCGGGGCCTGAGTCCCACTGAATCTGAATCTATATGCGATGCTGAGGCCAGCTGCCTTCCGAAGCAGTTAGCAGTTAGCGGGTGGATTATGGCAGTTAGACATAGCGATTATGGCCTTACATGAACATACAACTTGCTACAGTTTGGCTAGTTAAGTTCTGAGTCACATTTCGAGAACAGAAGATCAAGAGGAGCTAGATCCGAGGCTGGGTTATGACAACCGGCGAGATCGGTCGTGTTTGGGTCGAGGTGGACTGGGCTGATTAGATGGTTGTAGACTCCATAGATTCCACAGATTCTGTCCGATTAAGCCATCGATCGTTGTTGACATTTTAACAGATCGTGGGTGGACACAGGCACGTCTGTAGTTTAATTGACTTTTGATCTACGAATACCTAAGTACAATACAATCTCCCGTTCTTTCAACTGGCTGCTTATTACCGCATAACACACCTTAATTACTTTTCAATTGTATTACGTTCTTTGGCCGGCAAAAAATGATCAGTCATGGTTTTGCAAATTCTCTTTCAATTTATTTATAAACACTTAGTAATCATGATCATTATTGTATTTATTGAGTTAACATATGTCTGATACCAAAATGTCTTATAGCGTATAATTAAAAATTATATGGCTTACTAGTCTGGTCATAATCCTTGAAGTTCAAGTAATTATAAGGTTTTGTAATCATCTTGGGAAATATCGATCGTTATTGTATTTTACTACTGCTTACTTGCATTTAAATTACTTTTTGATAAATTTATGTAGTCTTTTACTACTGCTTAAATTAACTTAGCCTAGAGGTAATTTTGGCTCTAAACTTCTAAAAGTAAAATGAAGTCCATTAAACATTGTTATTATATAATCATGAAAATAAATAACTTTATATAATATGCACTATCTTTTATAATTCTGGAAGTACTTGACTCCTCTGACATTGATCTAAAATTTTTGATCAGTAAATAAATATTTTTTTTATTATCAAAGTTATTTAATTATAAATAAAATACATATATGAACTTCCACCAATAACTTGCTTGCTTTCTTTTAAAAATAATCTGCCAGGAAGAGCATAATTATTTTCAACTTCTAATCATCAGACGGCGCTAAAGTGATGTCAGAATTTTTTCTGCCATCACGCATTATGACAATTCGTTAGCATTAAAATAATCTTAGAAAGGTTACTCCACCAGCATATTATCAATCTTTTAACTTTGTATAATCACTCAACTGGAGAATGATCTCAGAAACAGTCTGCTGCCAAGCACAATCCTCTTTTAACACTTTAAAAGAAGATCTAAGAAAACGTCTTCCACTCGTTAAATTCACTAATAACTCGTTGATATTTACGCACATCTGCACAATCAATGTTTAACCTTATTATCTCAAGACATGAGCTGCATTTAAATCTCTATACCAAGTCTGCTTGTCATAGGAGCAATTATTCCATCAATCAGGCCTACAAGAGATCTCCACATCTGCACAATCATCAAACGCCAGACGGTGAATTCTTGCTTGCACTTTGTGTGTGTTCCACCTGTTTGCTCATTTGAATAAATTTGTAATTAATGCAGCTACCAGATTTTCAGATTTGTGTTTCACACCAGTTCAAACACTCGTTCGATGATGATGATCTTGGCTCACACGAGAACCGCACTTTTGTCACTTTTCCACGCTTTACGGATTCACTTTGCGGTCGAGATTCTAATTTATTATTTATATTGTTGCAGGGCAACCGCGAATGCTTATGGATATGCGAATGTGAGTGCTCGACATTCATGTTATGTTAATCAATGTTGATTGCAACTTTATTTTTTTGCTTTAATTAAAAGTGCAAACTTCAAAATTAATTAAAGTGACTTTGGTTTTGGTTTGCACATGGCAATTTGAGCTTGTTGCACTGTAATTACGAGCATCTTAATTTGCATAAAAATTTCGTTTGGCAAGCATTTGTCGGGCATTTTTCAGCATACCCATAATTATGGGAGGCTTCTTTGTTTTCTCAGATTTTAAGTTTGATGAAACACAGTCATTTTTCAAGATTGGTCATACACAACACTCAATGAATCACAAATAATGATACAATTTAACTATAGACAATTTTTCACCCAAGGAAGAAGAACTCACGCTTTACACTTGTTGTGGATTTTTGGAAGATTTATTGAACCCGCTTTGTTTGAGCCGCATCCGCGCGATCGGCTGCCAAAAAACCGACTGAAAGATACAACCTCGGCTGAAGAAGCCAAAACCCAAAGCTTCTCTTTGGGATTCTTCTGAAAGAGTCCAACCCGAAGCTCACCTCAGCTCGGCTTGGCTTTCGGTTTCGATTTGATTTCGCTTTCAAGCGCAATCCACGGATCGGGTCTCAAATCGCCGGCACTTCGAGTTTCTCTCTTAAAACCAGCCTGTGATCACTCTTAAAATGCACCTTAACTCTTTTTTTCCCATCGATCGTTTGAAGTCATTGGTTCACTGTGTCGCCTGCGAGTTTTTCTTTTATCTATTTTTTGGCTTTGTAGCCCATAGTTTAATGGGCTCTTTGCAACGTGACGTTTAAGTTATGATGAGATCGTTTTGGCTGACTTTTATACGGTCGTATGTGTGCGGCTTGAAGCGTGCCCAGGGGCTGTAAAGAATGTTTTAATGTTGGAGTTGTGACAAAGAAACTGTCGTTACTGGTTGTCGGTCTTGTGTAGTTTTTCTGGGTTCGTTTGAGCAGAGGTTTCTGCAATTGGCTTATGGAAATTGCGCGCATGTGGGTGAAGTCTTCGACTCCCAAGTGGGTTAAGTGGAAGCAGCAGATGAGTCATGGAATGCAAAAAAAAAGGTAGAACCATTAAAAAATTCTAAGAAGTATACAGATAGAAAATAAGATAAAGTGGGAATCCACAAAAACGGAAGTCCTATAGCATAGATTTTGATTATTAAAAATTTTATTTTTAAATTGCATATTTTGTATATAATTCTTTTACCAGACACCTCTTAGCTACTAAACATATTAATATGCCATCATGTCATTTCAATGTATTATTGACATATTCTTTTCCGCTCTCGAATTTTTTCGGCCTTAGGCCAACATTAAATCCCGACGAGGAACTGAGTACAAAAGTGTATGTAGCCTTGAGGTCCTCACCAAGCGGAAGTAGTTCGTAATGTCGTATAACCTTACTAATCAACGTTTTCATTTGGAGCATTGCAAACTTCTGCCCTATGCAGTTCTTGGGTCCGAAACTAAACGGAATATAGGCATGGATAGGAAAAGAAGCCTCTTTAACATTCATCCATCGTTCCGGCTTAAAAGTAAGAGGATCAGGAAAGTACTCCGGATCTCGATAGACATAGTACGGCATTAATATAACGTTTGTATTACCGGGAATGGTTTTATCCCCAACGTGCAAGTCCTTGGGGATGTATCTCCCGAGAAAAGGTACTGGTGGATACAAACGCATTGTCTCCTTAATAACGCAGTCGAGATATTTTAGATCTAGTAATTGGGACTGGGTCACTGGAGTGTTGGGATCTTGACCCAGGACACCCAGAATCTCCTCGTATACGCACTCCTGCACTTTAGGATGCCTTGAAATGACGTGTAAGGCATGGGACACCGCACTGGTGGTGGTGTCATCTCCCGCGAATATGAAGCCGCTAACCTCCTCGCGAATATCCAGCTCAGATAAGGGTTTGTTATCGATGGAGACTTGCAGCAGAATGTCCAGAAGGGCCATCTTAGATTTACCACCGGTCTCTTTATCTTCCAGTCCTAGAAGGTACAAAATATATTGTGTTAAAAAAATTATATTTTTCAAATTAATCAATTCACGTACTCAGCGGTTGGTAGCTACCGTCGGCCTTTGACCGCTCTAGAATTGCTCGCCTTTCACGAACTATCTTAGCGGTAAACTCATGCATAAGTCGTATATCTCGTTGTAATCGCCAGTAAACCAAAGGGGCTGCCAGCGGAAAAAGCCAGTTAAAGCGTTTTGAAGGACTTAACAAGCGGTCCGACTCGATATGGACAACACTGAAAGGGATATATGCAATGGAAAGGACATTCAATATGGTTACCATCAGCCTACCTCTTAAGCGTCTTAGTGTAGGCGCAATTAGGGTCGGTCTGGGCATTCATTTGGACTCCCATGGCAGTCTCTAAATAAATTGTAAAATGACAGCAATGTTTTTAAACACAATATCCAATGTATTTTTCATAATAAAAATACCTGTAATCACGTCAAGAGCTTCCAAGGAAACATAGTTGAAAAGGTCCACTGGTGTTTTCCCATCAGCAACCTTTCTCAGTTTCTTCACCATAATTTCACTGTTTCTGTCCATAATCTCCACAAAGTTCTCGAGGCATTTAAAGTGAAAGGCTGGGGCAAGAACCTTTCTCCGAGAAGCCCATTTGCTTGCCGAGCCAAGAAAGAGTCCATCGCCAAGGAAGTCCCGCATGACTCTGTAGACCTCAGCTTTCTGTAGTAGGGTACTGCTGCTAAGAATGGCTTCAAATAACTTTACATCCTTGGTGTAAATCAGGCATTCGCCCAGAATCCAGTGTCGAAAGGTGTTGCCATATTTATTGAAAGTGTTGCTAAAGTATTCGATGTAATCTAAAAACGTACGATTCTTATACTTTAATAAACGGGTTTAACGAGAATATATACTCACTTTCCGACCTCAAAGCTGAGGCCTGCAGACTATTGCCCAGTACTAAGAGCGAAAGTGGTCCCGAGATTTTTGACCTCTGAAGGATAGCAGACCGTCGGTGCCTGCGGTAAAAGTCCCAGGCCAGGATCAGGATAAAAGCTTCTAGAATTAAGGAAAGCCACATTTTTGAAAGAGTTCCAATGGTATCAACCTCTAAGCGGAAAATGAAGTCGCAGATCGAGTCCTGAATCAATTTATGTTGGGCTTATGTACTTGGCATCAGCACTTATTTCACCCAACTGTCGCTGTTACTGTTAGCTTACGGTGTATATCAGGGATCGTAAGTAAGAGTTATTTGTAATTATACCTGTTACTCGTAGAGTAAAAGGGTATACTAGATTCGACAGAAAGTATGTAACAGGTAGAAGAAAGCGTTTCCGTCCCCATAAAATATATATATTCTTGATCTGGATCACTAGCCGAGTCAAAGTGGCGCTATAGAAGAACAAGATAGGTGGCGCTATAGGCTAGATGTGTTAGTGAAAAAAGCAGAGTTGCTTTAAGCATATCTCAATCCCTCTGGTGGTAACGGGTATCTAATAGTCGAGGCCAACGACTAAACTGTTTTCACGTGTCTTTATTTGAAAAGGCCCTTTATATTACGCTCTTTTTATTTTTGTGCACAAAGTATAAATCCATTAGTACACTAAGAAAGCAAATAACGCCATTTAAACTCTTGACTGCAAAGTCCAAAAGAAATCAGCTTAATTGGTTAATATCAGAAATAAAACTCCCAGTAGGAATAATCTCTTCCCAAAGGTTAACATTGCTTGCCTTTCTCGAAACGAAATTTAGTTAGGAAGCCAGTTTTAAGGCAATGTCTTATAGCGATGCGCAACTAAGTTAAAAATATGAAAAAATTTAATAAAAAAAGAAACCAGTTTCGGCAAGGTAAATTTTATATACCGCAATTAAATATTTTTGAATTTTAAAAACATATTTTGTAAGTAGTTTTAAATGTATAATTATCAGTTAATATACTACTTTCATAGTCCCATAGAAACACCCAAAACTATATAAAAGAAAATATTCGTACTATAATAACTTATCTTTTTATATTTAAAGATCTTCGGACCCTTAATAACAATTAACCCCTTTATAATCCTGTGCCAGAGTTAGGTCAAATGGTACTTACTTCAACAGTGACCTCTGATTCTTTAGTTACAATGCATTTAACTATACTATATATATACTATTTTTTTTACTTGGTCTCAAATTTTGTTAAAGCTGGACCCAGGCACACACAATACATATAAAAATATTGGGATAGTACAGATAAGGAAAAAGTCGACTGACATTTTCTTCTTATTTTGCCATTGATTTTCCGACCGTTCCTATGAAAACTGAATAATATATTTTCTAAAAATTGCACTCAAACGACTTTGCATATAATTTTATTTAGTAAATGGAATGTTTAAACTTCTCTAAAAACTTATTTAAAAAAAAACAATAATCTTCAAAAATAAGTTATTTAGAAGCCCTTACTATTTAATTCCATTCGAAGTGCACTTACGACATCCAGCACTCTTTCTCTAATAACACTAACCTATTTACATGCTAATAATTAATAATTGTTTTTATGGGGTGAAAACAACTATATATTTTAATAAACGGCACACGACATTAAAAATTTATAATTATAGGTATCAGCGCCAATGATAAACTACTCAAATTATTATTTATTGCTTAGGTTACTCAACGCGGCTACTAAAGACTAATTAGTAGGTATTATCATCACATACGTTCTAGCTATAGCCAATCTAGACCCAAGATCCCACGATTATTAAATTATTTATCTAAAATTACAACAGAATACAATACGGATAAGCTCACGAAAACTAAGAAAGGAAATAAAACGCATTGCTCAATGCACTTTGTGGCATCCACATGAGGTGGACTTAAATAAAAAACCAATCCTGGCCCCACACTTTGCCCCACTCCCACTCAGCTCTTTGGAGCCATGGCTATTTGGCCCCCACTTCGTGTCCGCGGACAAGTGCGCTATAATTGGCCTGGCCCGAACGACTCCGTTGCCAATGGAAATTCCTACAGAAAGACCGCAACGTTTACACTTCAGAAAATTTTTTAGCCAAAGCTAAAAAAGTATTTAGAAATATTTAAAATTCATATCAAATAACTGTATGTCTAATTCAGTTGAAAATTTTTATTTCGTGAAGGCTGTGGAAGTATTTCATTAATATCTATTATAATCTAGAGATTTGAACAGTAAAACGACAAATTATAAATGCAATTTAATTTTCAAAAATAGTATTACGCCAAATAGTAGTTTATAGTTTAATAGTTTAAGTATGGGGTAGAGATAGGTAGTAGTAATGGGACTATAAAATGTATTTATATTGTTAATCAGAGAAAATTTTATAAGATTCGTTTTGCAACACATTGAAAGCTTTTTAAGTATGCACCATTAAAGTGTATATGTTTTAAATTTATTTTTATATCTTGATCATAAGAAATCCTATGCTAAAAAGTTTAAGTTACTTGAACCTAATGTTTTTCTTAATGGTTTTTCTCTATGCAACGAAATCGATACGCAGTTTTTATGGCCCAAGCGGGGCACAAGGTTAGTAGATTTGTGGACTTTCGGTGCGTTCGATTTCAATTTCGATTTCGTTTGGCAGTTTGTGTGTCGCGACTTGGTTTTGTTTTTGGAATCAGTGACTTTGGTTTTGGTTTCGGATTCGTTTGGGGTTTTCTCGCTGCTCTTTATGGCATTTTTGCAATTATGAATGGCCCGGGTCTCGGTTCGCATTCTAAATGTCAATGTTATTGCACCCTGGCAGCTGGAGTGTATTTTTTTTTGTCTTTTGCCCCGTGCATCTATGCATCTGCAAGATATTTTCGTGTTTTCCATTTGCTTTGATTTCCATTTGGCGGTGTCCGTGGCAAAAGAGGCGGTGGTTGACTTTTAGTGTTTGTTTGGAAGCCGATCGCATGTGGAATTTCCGCTATTCACGACGACCCACCTTAAAATCCAGACTCCAGTCCGACTTCGACTTTGAATTGAAATCAGAAAATATTTGAACTGCTGATCACTAGCGAATGGGTACCATTCAGATAGAGAACGTTTTGATACTTCCCTCATACATCGAAAGTTTGACTGCTTTTTATTTGAATTTTTTGAGTAAAACCAAATTTTCACCTATTTTAATGAAACATTATTAGTTATTTCTAATGAATTTAATTATCCATAACAGCTTAGAATTTTTGTATATAAGGATAAATGATCTGTTACACTCCTAAATATGCATTATTTTAAAACATTATGAAAATTATAAAAGGTAAAATGTTTAAAAAATTGTTTTCATTTTGAACATATCAAAAATAAGGCAATGGTTTTAAAAGAGTATTGAAACTCTCGGGGTCAGCATGTGTTGCACGCAATGAAAAATTTCATGCACTTTGAGTTGGGGGCCATAAATTTAGCGTGGCTTTGCCCATTGTGCGTTGGCTGCCACTGCGAAATCGAATCAATCATTTTGCACACACGAAAACGGAACAGATTCGGAAAAAATGCAATTGTTTTCACAGGGGAAGAGGGGGATAGTCGGTATTATGACAGCGTTAACAAAGCGCGGCCAACTTTAAGTGTTTAATTAACACAGAAAGAGTTCAACAAACATAAAAAGAGAGGCTCGACAACTCGAAAATCGCTCATACGCTCCGTTGAACTTCAAGCGCCGAAACACGCACAGGGAAACTGAAAAGTGAATTTAGTTTTTTGGATAGTGAATGAATGTGAATACTCAGCCGCAAGGTGTACCGAGCACTTGATTAATTGTGCAATTGAAATTGAATTAAAAGCGTGTAAAGAGCGTGAGGAAGAAATCAAGATGTATTTCCAAGAGAAAAGTGCTTTACCCCCCAAATCGCGTCACCTGATATGCAAAGTGGGGAAAAAAGCGAAAAGTAATGTCTGAAAGACGGACACTCGGGTTAAATTGAATTTATGGTCAATGCAAATGAGCGAAAAACTGAAGAAAAATAAAAATTGAATTGATTAACGCGAACTATGCAAAAAGGAACATCAGGTACATAGTTAAAAAAATTAACAAAAAACTCTGCTAACATTGCGAGCACCAGCGAATTGGTCTCTGGCGATTACGATTAAACACGCTTGTAAATACTGGCTCAGAAAAAAAGCACTTAAACTGAAAACATCATAACAAGAAAAAGCAGTAAAATATATATAAGTCAAGCGGCTACTGCATCGAGGTCGAAACCCAAGCGACCCAGGAAAATCCTAACCGACTTCCCCAGCCAGAGGAAAAACTGGAAAGGAAGTGGAAATCGCGATGGAAATAAAAATGGTAATGGAAAGATTTGATGGGGCCACTCAATAAAAGAGATTTCATCCAGCTTCCGAAGGAGATGAAAAATACATTAAAATATTATGCGGGAAAGTGCTTACAGGCTATACGAGGAAATAAACTTAATAATTACATTATTAAAGCGTAGTGTTAATAAAACAGAAGTACCAAAAATTTTAAACTTGAAAAATATATATAAAATACATAAAAACAAGAGAGAACGTTATATTGGATGCCATTGACTATCAAATACCCGCTACTCAGCCAAAGCGACTGAAACCAAGACTGCACACTTTATTTGCCTATAACTGATTAATGATTGGTCCGATTTTAACGATTTTTGGGATGTAGAATGATATTTATAATCAAGACAACATCCAGTCTAGTAAGGGCTAGTGAACTGTTCAGACTAGAATAAATTACTAGAAGCTTACGTTGTTATTGCCTATTACGAAATATAGCTAGCCGGGTATTAGTATAATTAATCAATTAAAAAAAACTGCACTATAGTCGCTACAAATTAAAGGGTATCGCTCTCGACCGCTTTTCGCGGCCAATTGAATTCACAAAACTATTCAACGAAGTGAATAGTTGACAACACGAGCTACTCGAGAAGGGGGCGGATAGAGTTGTAGCTACAACATAGCTTAACCGATCTATATATATGTATGAGCGTTGGCATGTGCACAGTTGAAGCCAGGCAATCATCCGTATCCGAGGCACACACTCAGCACTCCACAGCCCACGACAATATTGGAGCGAACGCACTTAAGTGCCCGTGCCCGATTCCATCTCCTCGTCTCAGGTTCCGCCTCTAACTCTCCAGACTTCGATTCCAATTCCGTGCCTTAGATTAATGCACATGTAAAAATTGGAATATCTTTAAAAAGTTCTATTCTTTCTAATGTATTTGTTATAGGAATTTTT